CTTTGTTTCGTTTGGTTTGTGATAAAAAAATGAACCAACATGTGATTGGATGGTTAGGAGGACAGTGTTGCCACCAATCCTCCAGGGATCAACACCTAGGTTTGACGCTTTGGTGTCCCATAAAGATGAAATATTATTTAAATGAGAGACGATCGATAGCGAGGTGGATATGGATAACGTGCATGCGTTTATAGGGGTGAGTATATGTACGTGTTTTGTGAGAGTTTGTGGTTGTACTATGTCAAAAAAATGCTACAAGTAGTCACCTTTTGTTTGTGTTTGCTATTTCATTGATGATCACAGCTTCGCAAGGGCATGGCAGGCTGGCACCTAAAAAAAGGTAGTGCTAACTAGCGAACGTTCGCTTGAAAGTGACTCCTAGCGAACGCACTCGTAACATTTAATCGAGATCAAATGATGACAGTTTTCTTTTTAAATGACTTGTCTACCGTGAAATTGTCATGCTTGTCTGAAGAAATTGCCGCCCCCTACAACTAAATTGCCATAAAAACGTTCGCCAGCTAAGAGGGTCAAAAAGAGTTGTGAGGCTGTTGCCTTGCAGTATAAAGTCAAAAAAAAGAGGGTAAAAAAAGTGGTGTTTGGTAAGTGGAGCTACACCTTTTTTTACGGGAAGTGGAGTTACACTGGACATAGCCGGAGAAGAACGTTTGAGCATGGGCCGTGTTATGGGCTTCGGCCCCAGGACGGAAGGCAAAAATGAGGGCCCAACTGTTGCTAAAAAAAAGAGGGCTAACCCAATGCGGGCGGCGACCACATTTTTCTCTGAGCTTTGCTACACTTACAGGCAAACCTCACGGGATTGCAAGTTATGGATGATGTGACAATAATTGACTGGCATGCTGGGCCCCACAATTGAAATTCATGGAGGGAGAGGGATTAATTGGGGGAGACGTCTGCCTGTAAGTGCAGCCCGTAAGTGTAGAATTTTCGTTTTTCTCTGTCTTCCTCCACCACGGCGGTCCAATCGGCCGGTGCCTCCGTCCGCCGTCTTCCTCCCCCGCCGCCGGCGCCAGTCTCGCCATATGAACCGCCGACCTGAGACACAGTGCCCCCCCCCCCCACACCCTGCCCCCCCAGACACTATCTCTAATTCTAGCCCATCCAAAGGGGCACCAGCCTATCTCTGTCCCTAAAAAATCAGATTACATGCCTCGTTTCTGGAATTCCAAAGGTTTGCTCTGTACAAGAAAGGGATTACCAGCACCTAGTAAAATTCATGCCAAACACAGACAGGAAGTCCACTATACGGTCGGGCTAAAGGCCCTTAACCTCAGCAAATTAAATTGATGCAACGGAAACATACGAGCTTGGGCACACAAAATAATGCCAACCTGCACAGGAGCTCACTAGCAGGGGGCATCAGGAGAATGCATAACCGTATCATGCAATCGGTTGTGGATGCCATCCTACTCATCAACAGCGGCAAACGGCTGGCAATCTTCAGTCCCATCCAGTGGAAGATAAGCTAACTGATTGCCTCAGCTGAGCTCACTAAAAGCAACTGATTCCATCCTCAGAAGGCTAACAATTAGCTCAAGATAAAGTAGATAAATCAAAGTCAGTAACCTCATCTCTGGAGATAAAGTAGAGAAATGTAGAGAATCGACTAAAATGATAACAAGAAATGAGCACCTGTACATTTTATTGGGACAAGTGGGTTCATCTCAAGAACTGGAGAGAACACAGTGCCTGAGATTGTTTCGACATCCTCGATTTCAGCATACAAAATACACATTCAATTCTTCAGAGGCCTTTGCTGTCTGAAATTGAAGGTGCAAATTGGAGAAGGACAGCAGTGGTCTGATGGGCCCCAACAAATGATAGAGCTGGATATAGTGCATTCTCCTTCTGTTTCCCCAACATGCATCTGAATACCTGTCGTATTTGCGCCAAGAGAAAAAACTTGAAACATATATTTTGTATTAAAAGAAGCACCAAGAAAACGCAGCAATGGCCCAATAACAAGAGCACTCAGAATCATTGCTAGTGTAATTCACTAAATCTCTTATAAACATTGATCTCATCAACACAATGCATATGCCAGTAATTGACTCCATATCTCAGGTAATAAAAACCAGTGTACACATATAAGCAAGCATGCATAATCCCAACCGAGAAACTAATACAACCATGATGCCTGAAATATTGACTTATTATAGTAGCAATCTAACTAGCCTGTAAGTACAGGTTCTAGCAACAGTTCACAAAAGAGGGAAACAAATTATCCATTATTAATAAGCTCAATAGCCCCATCTAGCGTGGTAGGCTAGCAGATGACAAGAACTCTGCCTCCAAGCTGTAGCGTCGTTGGCTACCTCCTGGCTGTGCAGACAATTGCCGAGCAGATCTACTCCTTTGAGTTAACGACCTTGGTTGCGTCTGTTCTCCATTTCTTGAATCAGGCTGAGATGAGTTCATCCGTTTTGTCCGTAATGTCTGCAGTTCTGTCTCAACCTGTTTCATGGTTGGTCTTTCTTCGCCGTGTAGCCTCAAGCACCGCTCTGCAAGAGAGGCAACATCATTGATCTCAGGTGCTTCCTCAAGCACCTGAGAATTAGCAATATATGTGATTCTTCCCTCATTGAACTCCTGGAGGAAATAGTTCGACAAGCTCTTGATTGTGCCTGATTCACTTGTGAAAACAGGCTTCATTTTGAGAAGCAACTCCACTAGTACCACACCAAAACTGTACACATCACTCTTCCCGTTCAGCTGCCTAGTATGGAAATACTCTGGATCTAAGTACCCAAATGTACCTTGCACATTCGTGACAATGTGTGTTTGATCAATCGGAACCAATCTGGATGCACCGAAATCTGACACTTTAGCTGTGTAGTTCCCATCCAAAAGTATATTTGAGGACTTCACATCACGATGGAAGATTGATATTGAAGCTGAAGAGTGGAGATAAGACAGAGCTCCTGCTGTTTCTAGGGCAATCCTTAAGTAATCACCCCAAGACAAAGAAAAACCATCACTTGAATCTGCATGAAGGACTTCAGACAGTGAGCCACTGGATACATAATCATACACCAGCAGTGGAACCTCAGTTTCGAGACAACATCCAAAGAGCTTCACAATATTTCTGTGATTTATTTGAGAGAGGACTGCAACCTCGTTGATGAATTGACTGATCTCAGACTCCTCAATGACCTTAGACTTTTTTATTGCAACGACACGCTGATCGGATAATATGCCTTTGTAAACCATGCCATGACCCCCACGTCCGATGATACGTGTAGGATCAAAGTTATTTGTTGCCTTCTCCAGCTCTTCTAATGAGAAAATCTGTGTATTCTCGTTTGCACTTTCATCAGATGATATCAGTGTTTCTAGAAGAAGACCTTGGTTCTTTCGGAAATAGTTATTCCGTAGTTGCTTTTGAACATTTATTTTCCATCTACGAGTGAGAAGCACTACACTGAAGCTCATAAGTAGGACACCGAAACCACAGGACAGCCCAACAATTATACCTGCAGGCGTTAAGTGCTTTTAAGTTTCTGTTCTATCTCATTTATAAAAAATGCAACAATAATATAGTCATACTCTTACCTAACAGTAGATTCTGCTGTTTCTTCCTATTAATTTCTGTAATACCTGAATCAACGAGATCTTGATAAGACGAGTCAGCAAAATATATATACATGGAACATAGTAAATCATTCAATAATTGTGAAATCGTGCATGAGCGTATTAAATGAAACCTAAATGGATGTAACACAAACCACAAGTAGAAAAATGAAAATGCAATGTCTAAGAGTAACATGCAGTTTTTAAATGTAATACAACCTTTTTTAGAGAGTTATTAAGTACCTTCACAACCAGATTGGATGTATGGATTTCCTACAAGGCCATCTGAGCATTTGCAGCGATAACCCCTATCAACAACACCAACCCCTTCAACACCTACTTCCACACACTTGCTGTTGATACTCACGCAAGCATATCCAGACATATTCTGCCGGGCCTGCGCACAACTTAGATAACCAGCAACCCATTGCACAGAGGAGAATGACCCATAAGGAATAGGAAAAAGAACATGTTGAGATGCAATATGTTCCCCTTTTATGTCAGGATTCATGAGGTTAACGGTCCCTTCCTCGATATTTATATCGATGACCTGTTTCTCCTCCAACATGACCAATCCAGCTGATGATGTCATATCTGTGCAGTTGAGGTGGAACTGTTTCATTGCAAAGCAACCCTCTTCTAAGCCGAATGGGAATGGCACCTCAGTATAACCACACCAACGGGTGCAATCATCTCTACTCAGAATTGGATTATACCCTAGTTTGATCAGTGAGAAGTTAGCACATATCAATGTCCAAAATTTACCTAACAACAGCTGCACATTTGGCCACCTGATTAGGAAAGAAGGTTACCTTCATCGATCAAGCAGCCATGTGGAATGTAGGGGTTGCCTGAATAACCAGTGCTGCAAATACAACTGTAGCCATAGCTTCTGTCAATGCACTCCGCATCGTCGATGTCACAGGAATTGGTTGTACTGTCAATGCACTTGGCATACTCGCCGATACAGGCACAGTTTTTCATGTTTTGCATGGCAGCAACACAGTTGGATTGGTCAACTATCTGCCACGATAGCTTAAAACCACTCGGCCCTTCACTAGTTATGCTGATTCTATCCCACAGTGGAGAGGTCTTGTTCGAGCCCGTGCTGGTGTTTTTTGTGATGTGGACAAATTTCAACTGGTAAGTGTTGGCATAGCTTTCCATGTGTACACGACAACATCCAAAGCCTTTACAGTTGTGCGTAGCTACTATCTCCGTGATTTCTGGATCTGGGCACACAGTTGCACAGATTGACTTAACGGAGTTCTCTTCGATGGAGTACACCTCCAGGTCACAGCCAGTTATCTTTAGAGCAATGGAATGAAGATGGAAGGATCTCCCAGGCGGTTTCAAAGACAAGTTGTAGACACTGACACCAGGTTGTATGGGGATGGTATGGGAGACGGAGGCCCAGATTGAATTTAATAAAGTAGGATTGCCAAATTTGATCACCTCGGTGATGCCGTCGCGCAAGAAGAGCCTCGGTGGATGAGCGGTGTCGTTGCAAATGAGGTTGAAGTCAGGCCCGCGCGAGCACCTGGATCCGATGCCAAAGGGATACGTGAAGCTCAGCTTGCCGCAGCTCTTCAGGCAGCCATGCAGCGTGGCACCGGCACGGGATGGTTGCGCCCAGTTCCCTTTGGGGCTCCGATGGCTTGTTACACCTCCAGATACCAGAGCTATTGGCTTTCCTAGTGACCTGAGTACCAATAGAGAGAAAATCATAGGGAAGATGCCCATGATCAGTCTACAGTTCTACACGGCACTTTGCACTAGAGAAATTCTGGCATCCTACTGCATATATATACCAATGGTAACAAGCTTACAGTTGACTCAAGGAAGACTGGAAGAGGCTTCGTGTGGATGGGGATGGGGTGTGCTTTGCTTGCATGTGTAAGCAGATAATCATGACCGTCTGTGCATGCACATGTGGACGTGTCAGTGGTGTATCAATACAATGTGAAGAACACCTCAGCAAGTCAGTCCATAAGGCAGTCTACTATGACCATTTCTAACAAAACCACGTTACACATTTCACTTGTGGGTTTTGTGGGTTTCCAAAGGATTACTCTGCACAAAGAGAGGAAAACATATTCATGCCAAACAAAGAGAGGAAACAACTGAACATGCAGAATTACAACACGTAAGTGGCGAACCTCACAAAAAGCTCACCATTAGGAGAATGCAGAACCGTGCCGTGCAACTGGTCGGGAATGTCATCTTCTATCTCCACTGATAGCTTGCAACCGAGCTAAGTGAATCCATCACCAACAGAATATACAGTAGTAAAAATTCTGAACAGAGTGTAGCTAAACCTATCACCAAGGGTTCCTATGGATGTAGTGTGTGCTTTGATGACATGTTGATCCTCGTACATGCCCATGTGGATGTAGCCATGGCGTACTTGATACAATGCATGTAAAAGAGATGATCATGACTGTGACCTCGTACACCGTGCCACAGGATGACCTCGGCAAGTCAGGGCTAAATTTGATGTTTTGACCCTTTTGCAAAAGTTTAGCTAGATCTGACTCTGGTTCGGAAAAATTTCGGGATCTGACCCTTTTTCTACCGTCGGGGTCGATGGCGGCAGGGTATACCAGCCTACCGCCGAGGTCCTTTGTGGTAGGCAACTTATCCATGTTAGCGCAGTGCAGCCCTACCGCCAAACAGATTGGCGGTAGCCTGTGCACCCCTACCGCCGAGAGGTGCCTGGCGGTAGATGGGTACAGGCAATGTGTGTGATACTTAGAAACTATTTACGGTACGGCGTGCACCCGTACCGCCAAGGGCCTCAGCGGTAGGCTCTTATATGCTACCGCCATCGACCTGGACGGTAGGAAAAGGGTCAGATGTCAAAAAAATTCTAAAGTAGGGCCATATTTGGCTAAACTGTCGCAAAAGGGTCAAACACCAAATTTGGCCACAAGTCGGTCCATTAAAGGGGCTGGTCTAAAGTTTATTCCAACGTTGAGAGGAAACAGATGAGCACGCAAAATTTACAGCATGAAAATGGGGAACCACACAAGAAACTCACCAGCAGTAGGTAGGGCATCAGGAGAACGCGGGATCGTACCATTCAACCTGTTATGATTGTCATCCTGCTCGTCGACAACGGAGGCCGGCTAGCAATCTTCAGTACCCACCTAGTGGAGGCAACCTAACTGATATGGCTTCCAACCGAGATAGGTCTAGGTGACACTTGACAGTAACCGAATCCATCACCAACATTAGCTAGTGTCGCTTAAGCTGCGGCCAAAGGAGCCACAAATCAAAAAAAAAATCTAACCATTGGCGATGGCCGATGGATTTATAGGTACAGAAGCAAGCAAACCAGTAGCTCCAATTTATAGATAGCTCACTTAGCTAAGTAACAGTAACTGACTCCTTCCCCAGCTTTAGTTGGTGTTTGCTTAAGCTCCAACCGGGAGCGTAGAGTAAACATTCTAGTCGCTGGAGATAAACTACAGAAACTGAATGTGCTAGTGCAAGTCTGTTCCAGATGATGATAAGGACCCTCGTACCCATGTGGATGTGTACCTAGATGTGGCAGTGGTGTACTTCATACAATGTGAAGGAGATGACCATGACTGTGACCTAGTACGCGGTGTTGCAGGAAGACCTCAGCAAGTCGGTCCATTAAAGGGGCTGGTCTAAAGTCTGCTCCTGATAAACCACGTTACACATTTGGCTTGTGGATTTTCTCGGTTTCCAAAGGTTTGCTCTATGCAAGAAAGGCATTACCAACATAGAGATGAATCAAAGCTCATGGGAAACATAGAGACTAGAGAGGGAACAAATGGGCACACAATTTACAGCATGAAAATGGGGAACCACACAAGAAAGCCACCAGCAGCAGTAAGAAACTAAGAATGCGGAGTCGTACCATGCAACCTGTTGGGAGTGCCACCTTGCTCGTCAACAATGGAAGCCGGTTAGCAATCTTCAGTCCCCACCTGGTGGAGACAGTTACTGATGCGCCCATTTAACCAGCGGAGAGCACAGAGTAAAAAGTGTAACTGCTGGGAATAAATTACAGAAACAGAATCATGCACAATACAACTAAGGAAATCACGACGTAAAAACCTCTATCCACTGGAGATGAATTTATAGATTCAGAAGCTAGCAAGGCAGTAACACATTTTTTAGAGGAGTAACACAAATCTTAGTTAAGCTAACTGAATTCTCCAATTTAGCTGTTGCTTCCTCAAGCTGCAACCAAAAGCAGAGGCCAGAGGGTAAACATAGTCATTGCTGGAGATAAACTAGAGACAAAGGATCATGTACATGACTGATGAACACTTCCCCAAGTCAGTGCAGCCTTTTTCCCCTCGACCCCCTCGTGTCGCCCCCGTGGGTGACCCGGGGGGAAACCCTAGCCGCCGTTTCTCGACCCCGGCCGCCCCCCTCCATTCCTCGCCACCGTCTGCACTGGCGCCGGGCAAAGCCTGGCTGGCAGGGCGGCGGCGGGGCTTCTCCCCCTTCGAGCGTCTCGGGCGGCACGGGACGGCCAGATCACGAAGCAGCGTTGGGCTAGCACGTGTCCGGCGGCGCGGCGGGCGAGCATCTTTGCTGCGCTGGCGGCATGGTGCGGCGGCTGCGGCTTGGATCCGAGTACACGACGAGGTGGTGGATGCGTGGTCTTCAAATCGAGTGGTCGCGGCACCGCAATGTTCAGGCCGGATCCATCTGGATCTGGCGCTTGGATGATGTCGGCCGGCGCAGGGTGGTGGTCTTCGCCGCTGGCTTCGTCGAATCGTTGGATCCGGTGCCTGGAGATCTACGGCGGCTGTTCTTCTTGATCCTCCTTCTTGGTGGGTTGAGCCCCATGGCACTTGCATCTCTGCTCGTCTCGGTTCGTGGCTCGCTGCCGGATCCGGAATAGATGGAGGTTTTGTGGTATAGGTTGGGGACCGGAGGAAACTTTGGTCGGCTGGTCCGGCCCGGCATCGGCGGCGTCCCTCGACGCCGTTACCCTCAATGGAGGTGAAGCCGAGATCCCTCCTATCCATATCCGAACCCCTCCCGCACGAAAGTCCAAAATTCAGTCTGGATTGGGCGGCGGCGGCGTCCTGTGCGTCGTAACCTCCATGGAGGCGCCGTCTTGGGAGGATCAGATGGTCGGGGGAGAGATGCTATGGGTGGTGGTCTCCGCGTAGCTCTAGCAGCAGTGACGGTGTGAAGGTTGGCAGGAGGAGCGGCGTTGTATCTACCGCGTCTATGACGACGAGTATTGGCGGCATGGTGTAGTTGGATCTCGACGACGGATGCGGCTGTAGGAACGAGCGCAGGGCGGTGGGCATGTTTGGCACCGTGGCGGTGTTGACGGCTGGCCTAGCAAGGTCGATGCATGTACTTGCTCTGAAGATGGATTGGTGGAAGACGGCGGTGACGCCCTTGCAGTATGCGCATGTGGTGCCCACTGAAAGTGCGCCGGATCGGTGTGTTACCCAGACCAGGTATTGTGGCTTGGATGAGGCATCCAACATTAGATATTAGGTGTTGGTGTGATACGTCTCCAACGTATCTATAATTTTTTATTGTTCCATGCTATATTATATTCTGTTTTGGATGTTTATTGGGCTTTATTATACACTTTAATATTATTTTTGGGGCTAACCTATTAACCGGAGGCCCAGCCCAAATTGCTGTTTTTTCCCATTTCAGTGTTTCGCAGAAAAAGAATATCAAACGAAGTCCAAACGGAATGAAACCTTCGGAAACGTGATTTTCGGAACAAACGTGATCCAGAGGACTTGGAGTCTACTCAAAGCAACGAACGAGGAAGGCACGAGGTAGGGGGGGCGCCTACCCCCCTGGGCGCGCCCTCCACCCTCGTGGGCCCCTCGTTGCTCCACCGACGTACTTCTTCCTCCTATATATACCCATGTACCCGGAAAACATCAGATATGGAGCTAAAACCCTATTTCCACTGCCGCAACCTTCTGTACCCGTGAGATCCCATCTTGGGGCCTTTTCCGGCGCTCCGCCGGAGGGGGCATTGATCATGGAGGGCTTCTACATCAACACCATAGCCTCTCCAATGAAGTGTGAGTAGTTTACCTCAGACCTTCGGGTCCATAGTTATTAGCTAGATGGCTTCTTCTCTCTTTTTGGATCTCAATACAAAGTTCTCCCCCTCTCTCGTGGAGATCTATTCGATGTAATCTTCTTTTGCGGTGTGTTTGTCGAGATCCGATGAATTGTGGATTTATGATCAACATTATCTATGAACAATATTTGAATCTCCTCTGAATTCTTTTATGTATGATTGGTTATCTTTGCAATTCTCTTTGAATTATCAATTTGGTTTGGCCTACTAGATTGATCTTTCTTGCAATAGGAGAAGTGCTTGGCTTTGGGTTTAATCTTGCGGTGTCCTTTCCCAGTGACAGTAGGGGCAGCAAGGCACGTATTGTATTATTGCCATCAAGGATAAAAAGATGGGGTTTATATCATATTGCATGAGTTTATCCCTCTAAATCATGTCATCTTGCCTAATGCGTTACTCTGTTCTTATGAACTTAATACTCTAGATGCATGCTGGATAGCGGTCGATGTGTGGAGTAATAGTACTAAATGCAGGCAGTAGTCGGTCTACTTGTCACGGACGTGATGCCTATATACATGATCATACATAGATATTCTCATAACTATGTTCAATTCTATCAATTGCTCGACAGTAATTTGTTTACCCATCGCAATACTTATGCTATTTTGAGAGAAGCCACTAGTGAAAC